AGACGGGCCCTGTTTTATGGAAAAGGAGGCACCTAGATAGGCCCCTGGGAGCTGATGTGAGCGTGGTTTTCTCATTTTGAAAATCATCTGAATCTGTTTGCTGTGTGTTTTTAAAGGACAGGGTATTCTATTTAGAGAAGAGGATGTGCGTATTAAAATTTTGGAAAATTTGGAAAAGTAGAAATAAAAAGTCCACTTGCTCAGTGATCACAGTCCTACTGTGCATAGCATTGTGGTGTGTTTTCAGCCAGTTTCTTGTAAGTGCGAGCAGTGCAGACGCGTGTGCTCCGGCACAGTGGGACGACCCCGTGCGCTGTCCGGAATGTGCGTGCACACCTAGACACACAGCCACGTGCATCTCCAGGACCTTCTCTGCAGCGCTGCCTCCAGACAACACTGCGCAGCAGCACTGGTTTGCAGGATGGTGCCTGTCATTGGCTTCGACTCCCTGGCTTTTTCCTCCTTAACTTTCCGTGGTCTGGGCGGCATGACTGCCGGCCCTCCTTGCCGTGGGCTCACCAGCACTGCGGGAGGCCCAGCCCCGAGGGCACGTGCCCACTGGCTGTCTTGGCAGCGGTGCGTTCTGAGGAAGCCTCTGTGCTGTGGACAGAATTTATTCTCTGGGTCGCAACTGTGCAACGACGAGGGCCCACTAGACACGCTGCCTCCCGCGGTTGCTGACCTCACAGTTCTGGGTGTTGGGTTTGCGTCCCTCGTGGGGTCCGGTTACTGTCTTCCTGCCTTTGCTTTCTCGTTGACTTAGCAAACCTTGGGAGACTTGGAGGCTTGTCCCTGAGAACTAGGTTCTTGGCAGGAAAGTAGGCGAAAGCAGAGGGGAGAGCAGGGCTGGGCGGTGGCGGGGGCAGACGGGACGCGTGGGGACTATGTTGGGGGCACTGTCAGTGCTTCCTCCCAAGTGCTCTCTAACCTCCCGTGACCCGGGAGCTCAGTGTCTGTAGCTGGTTGATGATGGAGCTGAGGGGTTTGGGAGGCTGTAGCTCAGGTGTGGAGGCCCTGAGTGAAGTACCCAGAAAGCCTGGTGGGGTCTCAGGTCCCTGGGGGCGGCTCATGGCTGCCTGTGGACTTGGGCAATGGAGGAGGGGAGGGAGGGACGACAGGGGCTTCCCTGCTCTAAAAGGCTCTCCCGGATGCCAGTCCCTCTGCCACCACCTCAGCTTGGCTGGCACTGAGTGTTGCAGGAACCTCTGGCGGCTGGGAGGCGTGGAGACTGGGACGGTGCAGAGCTGCCCCAGGGCCAATGCCGGAGGGGCTGCCCACCCTGCTTGGCGAGGGGAGTGAGACCCTCCCCCTCATCTGCTGACCCTGCAGAGGCCATGCAGCTTCCTGAGACTCGCTCAGGGCTGGTCTCCTGGCCTGGGCTGGATGGATAGAGGTAGAGAAAAGAAGACGTAGTGAGAGACACAGGTCATTTGTGTGGCTGCAGCAGACCTCCCCCAGTCCTTAGTTCACTCCTCTGTGGCGTTGGTCCTCGAGTTGGGTCCTTCCTCTCCTGCACCTCTTTATAAGCCTCTGGTCTGACACCAGGTCACGACACAATTGGCCCTGACTGGGCCTTGGGCAGACACCGGACCTGCGCTCAACAATGTCTGCAGAGTGAGTGCCACGGTAGCTGGGGCCACGGAGGGGAGTCTGGACTTGGGTCCTCGGCCCCGCAGGTCACTTGGTGGGTTGTGGTGGCCTCTTCCTTGGTGGTTCGCCGGCGCTGAGTGCACTGGGGGCTTCATGTTCCTGCTCTCAGGAACCCAGGGCTTGGGCTTTTCCAGCCTTCTTCTCCTTCCCGTGCGCTGGCCTCTCCGAGCTGGGTGATCTGATGGTGTTCAGAGCCCATCACTCTACTGTAGGCAGTGTCCAAAATCCATGCAAACCCCTCCTCTGCTTTCTTCCCACATCTCGCACCTGGCGGGTAGGAAGAGGCTGGCCGCACAGCTGTCAGGGGTCCCACTCACCACACAGCGAGAATGCTGACCAAAGCCATGAGCAGAGCATCCTAGGCACTCAGTGGCCTTCTTGCGTAAGTCATTTATGCAAAGGTGGATTTATTTGGAGAATACGTGAGTTGGTGCTTCATTTTTTAACTTTTAGAACAAAGTCAGGCCTCTTTTTTTCTGTCGTCGTAAGTTTATGGTGTCTCAAATTGAGGGGGAGTCCATGAGATCTCTTCTTTTGACCGTCCTGTGGCTTCCAAGTAACCATTTCATCTGTATTATAATCCCCAGGGTGGACAGCATCTCAGAAGGAAGTCCGCCAGCCCCTGGCCAACATTTGTCGCCTGAGGACCAGCAGAATATCCCAGAAGGAAGCCCACTAGCCCAGGAACAGTTGTTGCGTGAGATCCAGTGGAACACACTGGCAGGAAGCCCGCCAGCTGGTGGCCAGCGGTCGTGGGCAGAGCGCCAGCAACCCGCAGCAGTGTGCAGCTTCACACAGGACCTTTTGGGAGGAAGCAGGTTGGACCCAGTGGACACAAAACCATTTGCTTCACATGCAGATTCTGAAGCTCCAGTCCTGACTGCGGACAGGAGCGGCGCCACTGAAACGTGTGGCCCGTGTCAGGAGGCACAGCTGGGACGCAGGCACTCAGGCAGTGCCAGCACTCCAAGCACTCGCGCCGATGCCCCCGAGGCCAGGCCCCAGGCCGCGGGTCAGCCGGCAGGGGAGGGCCTCCTGCATGGCGCTGGATGCAGGGTAGAGTGCGGTGGGCAGCAGGGAGGCCGGGGGTTGGCCCGCAGTGCCCCTGGGACGGTGCAACTCTCGTCCTCGACGCCTTCTCTGGATGAGCTGTGGCTGGGGATGAGGGAGGACCGGGAGGAGCTGCAGACGTGCTTAGTTAAGGAGCAGCTGTCTGTGTCGGGCTTCGCGGGACCCCTGGACGTCTCCCACGCCAAGCTCGGCCCGGCGGAGCAGCCCCCGCCCTCTGCCTCCGTGTCCTTGTGTGACCTGGGAGGCACAGCCCTGTGTGGTGGCCGCTCGGGCAGCTCCTCGGCCTGCTACGCCCGAGCCACAGACCTCCCGGGCGTCCTGGAGGCCCCGGAGGCTGACGAGAATTCCTTCTCCTGGAACCTCAAGGAGCTCTTTCTCAGCGAACAGACAGAGCGCACCTCCTTGAGCTGTTCCTGTACTACGTCTGAGCCCGGGTGGACACCCTCCCCTTCGCTGGTGGGCTCTGACGTGGATGTGGGCGTCTTGCATGGGCCGAGGTCAGATGTCCTGGACGATAGGGAGCTGCTACTGCTGACCGGCACCTATTTCCATCTCGGTGAAGGCTGGCGCTTCCGTGAGAGCTGCCTGGGCCTCGGTGGGACAGGACCTTCTGAGACCTGCTTGGTGTCCTCAGAGCACTGTGAAGTGAGTGGCAGAGAGAGCCCGGGCTGCGTCCCTCCCGTGTCGGGAGCCAGCTCCGAGGACACATGCCCATTAGAGGAGCCCAGGCTGACCCTCCAGGTCACCTCCACGCCCGTGAGCAGGGACGGCTCAGTGATGCTCGGGGCTGCCAGCCTGCAGCCTGAGATCCAGGAGGGCACCTACGTGGGGAGCTGCTACCACCAGGACGGCTCAGAGCTGAGTACGTGTCGGGGGTGCGTCCCTGTCTCCCTGGAGCACAGCAGTGGGTGGGGGCTGGTGTGTGAGAGGGCTTCACGCCAGGAACAGTTTGGGCCGAAGTGCTGTATCGTGGGGAGTAGAGGACCCGAAGTTACAGTTTACCTCTTGAAAGTCAGGATCACAGTGCATGTGCTGGGGGTGGGCAGCCTGAGCAAGGTGCCGGCCCCTCCGTGCCCTGCAGCAGGGGCCAGGCTCCCGTTGGCCAGGACCTCGGCGGCCACACCAGGAGGGGCTCAGTGGTGCTCCGAGTCCGCAGCATCCCCAGTCTGGAGGGCTGTGATCGGGCCCCGTCACTAGTCCCCACTCTGGGTGCCGTGACTGGGGCCGGTCACCCAGCCCTTTACTTCCCCAGTTTCCCAGCAGGTGCATGTGTTCCAGCCAGTTGTTTCCTCATTGCTGATTTCATGGTGTTGATTACCAGGGCTTTCCCTCGAACGTAAAATACTTACATAAGTAATACATGTTATTTGCGGAAATATCATGAAATATAAGCAAAAAGAAGAAAATGAAATCATCTGTAAACCCCTTTGCCAGAAAAAAGATAAGCATGTTTGTGTTATTGGAGGCTGTGTAAAAACGCACCCACGTGCGTGAAGCTCCAGGAGCGTGCCGGGTCAGCTTGTGCAGTTAAGTGGCATGTGCTCTGTGCATGTGCGTGTGGCCTCCCTGAGGCAGACTCCTCTGTGCAGGGCGTTGGGTGCAGGTTTTCCAGGCTTGTCCGAGTTGGCAGCTGGTTGCAGTTCTCTCCCTTGGCCTCTGGCTGCCTGGTGGATGGGCTGGGCTGCTGGTCCCACGCCCAGCAGAGGGGGCGCTGCTGCCAGCCTCAGCCTTTCCCCTCTCCAGGCTTGGGCGCCTCTGCCCCTGCCCCGGGCACTCTGCGTGGGCTCTGTGCTGCTCTGGGGCTTTTTTCATCAGCAAACTGCTGGTGAAACCAGTGGGAATGTCCGTTCTCTCCTCAGGTGTGCAGTTTGAAGTGAAGCGGGTGGAGCTCCAGGGCTCAGCGACCCTGTTCTGCTGCTGGCTGGTGAAAGACCTCTTGCATGGCCGGGACTCGGCCCTACGGACCCGCCTGCTCCTGGCCAGCCTGCCCGGCTCTGCCCACACCACGTGGGAGCTGCCTAGATCCCGCCTGGGGGAAGTTGGTATCTGCCGTCAGCCTGTGCCCTGTATCCGCCCTTCTGTGCAGAAAATGTCTCCCAGTTAGCCTCTCTTTCTCCATTTTCTCTGGGATGGGAAGGGGGTCTATTTGTGGCTTTTAACACTGCCTTTTAACAGCCTTCTAAGAATTAAACCACACGGAGGGTTTTAAATCTGCGTGTGCCCCGTGTGCAGCATGGGGTCCAGGGGTGTGCCAGGATGGACTGGCGAGTCGAGGCCCCTGGTGGGCCTTGTGGAGAGCGGGTCTCAGGCTGGGGACTCTGTGGGCACAGGCGGGGCCTAAGGGGCCACGCAGGGCATGTGTGCTGCTGTCCCTGCAGGAGGGTGCACAGCTGCTGGGGCCACTCGCCCGCCTGCTGCGGTCCCCTCTCCTTCAGTGCGTTTCGTGTGGTCCCTCAGACCTGCTTTTGCAGTCGCAGGTGCTTGGAGCCAGACCTTGGTTTGAGGAGCTCCCCAAGGCTGTGGAGCTGGAGGGGCTGGCGGCCTGCGAGGGCGCCTACTCCCGCAAGTACAGCACGCTCAGCCCGGTCGGCAGCGGGGCCTTCGGCTTTGTGTGGACGGCAGTGGACAAGGAGGCGAATAAGGAGGTACTCGGCTCCCAGCGGGGTTGGGGTCTGCATCCTGGGAGGCAGGCTCCCTGGCCGCGCACACCACCCCTGGCCACCCTGCTTGGTGGGCTTTGTCCCTTGCCCTGTAACACACCAGGGCTGGCGTCCTGTGGGCTTCAGATCAAGACCCGCAGGGCTCTGTCCTCGGCCTCGGGTTGTGGCTATTCTGACACACTCCTCTTCCAAGTAAGCCTTAGACCTGCTGCCTCTCCCTCCCAGATCCTGCTGGGGTTAGATTGTAGTTGCTTGGGCATTTTGTGATCCGGGGGAACTGGCACGCCTGTCCCTGCAAACCCCGTGGGCCCCCCAAGGGTCCCCATGCCTGGCCTGCCGATTCCTGGGAGGGCCAGCGTGGGACCCGTTCACCATGGTGTTTTTCAGTCACTTCTGGAATTTACCAGAGCTGCTGGCTTGAGTTGATACACCTTGCATCTGTATCAAGGTCTTACTGGTTTTACTAATTTTTCAGTGGATCCTTCTGATTTGCTAGACAGCAACCCCTCCTCTGCTGAGAATGACGGTTCTGTTTTCTGTTAACTACGTCCCATTGCTTTTCTTTTCCTTCTCTGCTGTCCCCTGGGCTCAGACCCGCAGAGCCGTGCCCGCAACAGGTAGGCTCCCCGACCGCCTGCTGGCCCTCGTCAGTCCCGGCGGCTCCTCCTATTTCTTGATGGAGACCTTTTGTTCGAGAAGCTCTCATTTTATTTTCTGCTCACTAAAATTTTTTTTTAAAGAATGAGTGTTGCGCTCTGTCAAACACCTTTTCCATGTTGGTCGAAATGCTTGCATCTCATTTCCTTTATTAACAAATGGGTGTCATCAATCAGCTTGCATTCACAGGATCCATCCTTCTCTGTGTTGTAACGTTCTTTCAATGCGTTGTTGAATTTTATTTTGGGGGGTTAATTTATGTTTATATGTAAGTTTTCTTTCTTTTTTCCTGTCCGTTAGGTGGGCTGCAGAGCCAGCAGCATTGGCAGCACGTAAGGGCCTGTGTGGTGCTGTCTGCACTCTTCTCTGCGGCGACCCGAGTTCCCTGCTGTCCTCACTCTTGTGTTCGCTCCCTCTTCTCTTTGCTTGACTTATCAAAGAATTGTCTATTTTATTCATCGAATATTTGTTTTGTTTTAATTTCCGTTCTCATACTTTCTGTGAGTTGATTTTGCTATTTTTCTAGCTTATCGGATTGCATGTGTTATTTTGAAAGCTGTCACTTAATGATAAAAGCCTGTGCAGTGTTCATTTCCCGAGGGCACTCGGCCGCCTTCTGGAGGTTCCTGCTGCCATTGCCGTTAATCTGGGCATGTCTTCCCACTCGTGGTTTGGGTCAGGAGTCCGATAGGCCGTTGGGTTTGTTCAGAGCGTTACCCCAGGGAAGAGGACAGCCCCCCCAGAACTCCCTTTAGGGACCTGGGTCAGTTTGAATATTCTCGGGCCTACAAATCATTGAGTAAAGCAGCCAACCAAAAAGTCAGCTTCCAAGCAGGTTCTCGTCCTTGGGACGATGGATTTGGGGGGTGCTGCCATCTTAGCAGCGTCAGTTCTTCCGTCCCAGAGCACGGACGTCTGTCCGTTTGTTCGGGTCTGTGGCTCTTCACAGTGCTGTAGTCTTCAGCGTGGAGTCCTGTCCTGCCTTGTTGGCTCTCTGCCTTCATACCCAGCGCCTTCGCTTTCCTGCGAGGTTTTCACGTGCTGGGATGAAGGGCGCACGGGCATTCTACTTTGGACCCCGGCGTGTGTTGAGTGTGTTTCCCCGCGCATTTCATGGTGGTGGGCCCTTGTCTCTCGGAGCTTTTTGGACCCCGTGTCTGTTGTCGTCTGCCATTATTCTGAATTGAATTTTGCTGCTAGCAACCTGATTTTTTTTCTTTCTGCTTTTTAAAAAGTCTTTGGCATTCAGAAATTTCACCAGAATGTATTTTCGTGTGTGTTCTCTGCTCTTGCTCGACACACTGTGAGACTGATCTGGGTGTTTAGCGCTATTCCGTCCTTTTGTTCTGTTCATTCTTTCCCCGGAAGCTCATCCTGGGCACGTGGAGGTGGGGGCTGCCCTCCTGGCCTCCTCCCTCGGCCCCGCGGCTGGGCGGGCAGCTCGCTTCAGGCACGCGGACTTGAGCTCAGGCGTCTGCGCTGCACTCAGCCTGGCCCCGCCGTCCTGCCGGCCGTGGTTCCCTGGGGCTTCAGCCCTGATGCCGCGCCGTCCTCCTGCCTTCCCTCTCAGCTCTCACCTGCCCGGTCCAATTACCGTGACCCTGCGCTCAAGGGCTCCTCAGTGTGTCCACTGGTTGCCACCAGCGCTGGCTCCCAGCCCGACCATCGGGAGGGTTACTGGGAGGGCACGTGGGTGTTGCAGGAGCCCCTGAGCCCGTCTTCTGCTCCCGCCCGGCCCTCGAGCTGCCTCTCACCCCTCAGGCCGCCTGCCCCAGGCCGAGGCCGTGCCCCAGAACCTTCCCTTCCCTTACTCTGCCCGAAGTGCCCTCCCCCTCAGGGAACCCTCCTGGCCCCATGATCCCTACCTCCCCGGCCTCACCTTCTTCGTGGCCTTCCCTCTCCCTGACCCACAGGGCATCCTGGGCATCATCCGTCTCCTGGCAGGAGCTGAGCTCCGTGAGGGCGGGGGTTTCGGTCGTCCGGTTTGGGATCTCATGCTGAAATGGAGAGTAGGCCTGATCTAAGGTCACTGCTCACCCCCCTGGCCCCTGCTCTCCCCTGGCAGCAGGTGTTCTGAGCGGCAGGGTTACCATTCAGTGACTTACAGGCTCGCTTCCTTTATCGATGGTGTCTTTTCCCCCTATCCTCCCTTAACTGACTGGCACTCGTCCCGGTAACACCGTCTTCCCATGTGTCTCGTGTCCGCCAGGCTCGCTGAGCTCTCTGATTAGTGCTCAGAATTAGCGTGAGTTAGTTCTTATTTCTTTTCTCTGGTTCTCAGGCCTCTTATTTCATTTTCTTGGCCTGACGTCCACTAGTCGGTTAGGAAATCAGGGTGGAATGGGGAATGGGGAAGTCAGGGGCCGCGGCCCCACCATCCTTCCTGTCCGTCCACTTGACAGAAATGGCAGGTCTGCTCTAGCCTCTGGTCAGCGGCCGGCGTTCCTCCCTGCTTCCCGTGCTGTGTGGGTCGCGACTAGGTTTCCTCTTGCACGTCCCTGGGGCCTGGAGGGGCGGGAGCAGGGGCAGGTCACGTGGTGGTTCTGTCCACGCTGAAGCAGCCAGTTCACAGGACACGGGGGGATGGTGGGAATGGCTGTGCCTACTCCCTCTCTTCTTTCCTTGTAGGTTGTGGTGAAGTTTATTAAGAAGGAGAAGGTTTTGGAGGACTGTTGGGTCGAGGACCCCAAACTTGGGAGGGTTACTTTGGAGATCGCCATTCTGTCCAGGGTGGAGCACGCCAACATCATCAAGGTGGACAGCTTGCTCACGTGCGGGTTCTCCAGCGTGCGGTCCTGGGCGGTCTTGGCATGGCCAGACCCAGCTGTGTCTCTTTCCAGGTGTTGGATGTGTTTGAGAACCAAGGGTTTTTTCAGCTGGTGATGGAGAAGCACGGCTCCGGCCTGGACCTCTTTGCCTTCATCGACCGCCATCCCAACCTGGACGAGCCCCTGGCAAGCTACATCTTCCGACAGGTGAGAGCCGGCTCTAGCCGGCTGGGGAGGGTGGGCCAGGGCTGCCTGGTCCCGGAGGCTGCAGGGATCAGCGCATGCTCGCTCCTCTCTGTGAGCCGGTCTGGCCTTCAGGTTTTGTTGAGGGAGATATATTTTGAGGAGAGAATTCTGTGGTTGAAGTAGAAAAAGTGAGGTTGGAGGGAAGAAGGAGGCCAGATACCAGCTTGGCATGGCCGGGGACGGATGTGTGATGATTGAAGTTTGTTTGTTTCCGTATAATGGCCACAGCAATCTTGAAAACGAACGAACAGGCTCTCATACTGGGCTTTGAGACTGTGCATTTGATCTGAGTCCTGTCCCCCACTGGGAAATCATTGCTGATTTTGCAGCGGAGATCATTATAGGACCAGCGTTATAAGGCTGTTAGAATTAAGTCAGAGGTGACCCCAAGGCCGTCGTCCGGCATGCTATCCAGCACATAGTCAGTGCTTAATTAACAGGGGCGGCTCAGTTAATTAATCAGCAAAGAGATTCTGGGAGTCTCAGCTGACAGTGAGTATTCATTCGTCTTGGTCTCTTTTGTGTCTATTCACGTCTCAATCTTAGTCCACTTACTATTTCATTGGAGCGAGAGTAATCAGCAACGTAGAAAAGTGTCCTGTGAGAGAGAAATTGGGTGGTGAGGGACAGTAATTCTTGTTTCAGTTTTAAGAACGTGATGGTTCCATTCTAGACTATTCCTAGCTCCCGGACAAAATGTGAGACACCTGGAAGGGGTTGGCACTTTGTTTCTGGGAGCTGACTTGATTTCTAATGACAGCTTCCAAAAATGGACATTTCTTCCTCAAAGCTATAAACTTCCTGAAGTTACTGGATTCCTGAAATTAAATTTGTGAGGCACGTGCTTGTAAGTTTTGGGCATCATGGTTCTGCCAAAGGAACATCACCTCTCCCTCTTCCTACGCTGGAAGACTGCACACGCATCCACTTTACTTCGTGGCAGAGATTTGTCTCTGAAATCTCCGTGGCAAACAGCGTCTAATGACATGACCTTAGGAGCCCTTGTTAAAAGCCGCTGACGTGGGCGATCGTAGTGTTCAATACTTCGTCATTTTCTCGAGAAGTATCAATAGCCCTTTGTGAATCTGTATAGTGTGTAACGTGTTGCTATATGTAACCATGGATTCACAGTTTCGTGGAACTACACGAGTGCGTGTAAACGTAACACGCACAGCGCCGGTGTTCCGTGTTGTGCCCCTCAGCTCCAAATCTGGGGGTCTGCCCAGCGAATGGCACCGGGGTGGGGGCGAGGGGGCTGCAGGGACAGCAGCTTCCCTTCCGGTTCAGGTTCTGATGCTCTTTGCACCGAGTAAACCTCGAAGAAATGTTCCACGTTTACAGTGACATGTGGTTTCTGTTTCCTGACTGGAGCCGGACGTGTACATGTGCATCTGTGTGTGTACACGTGTGAATGCGTACATGTGTGCAACCACACCTCTGCACACGTGTCTGTGCACACGCGAGTGTACAAGTGCACGTGCACATACCCACGTGTCTGAGGATGCAGGCATGTCTGTATGTGCATATGTGCATATAAATGCACGCTTACCTGTTCATTTAAAGTTAACTCAGCTTTGTTTACCTGCCACGAACTACTGCTTCTGACTCAGAGACACTCGTCCATAAATGCAGAGTCGTCTCTGATGACCTCAGTGGCCGCCTGGCGCCTGTGGAGTCTGTCGATTGGCCCGGCTGGTGTCCATAGTGCAAATGCAGTCAGAGCTTGTCCGAGTCTTGCTTACTCTTAACAGAAACGCTGCTCTTGTTGCTGTCTTTCACCACCTGTGCTGGGCAGGCACACGGCGGTGTGCTTGGTGTGTTCTGGTAGCTTCTCCTTTCACAGTGAACGCTAGCACACTTGGCTTGTTGATGTGAAGCCATTTCCTGTGGAGTGACTTTAAGTCCATGTCGTTGAGGATCCCGCACACGCTGGGGAGAGCTTGGCTGGCACCCAGTGCCGGTCTTTGAGAAGCTGCCAGAGTCTTTGATAGGGGTTTGGAGGTGTGGCTTCTGCTCCTAGCTCCACTTGAAGTTGCCACATGAACTCCAGGCAAATCACCTTCCTCCCTGTGAACCAAAGGTGGCGGACTCAGGCCTTCTCTAGGACCCCTCCCGCTTAACGCCCAACACACACGCATTAAAGTGCCCACAGCGTGTCTGTGGCTTCTACTGTGTGTGGTCTGTCTTTCCTCCCAAGACAGTCATCCTGTGTTACACGGGGCATGAATGTCTGCTGGGGTGGTTTCCTTGGTAGCAGCAGACATAACTTAAATTCACGGGTTTCTCGGGGGTGTCAGTGGAAGGGCACAGAGCTTCAGTGGCGCGGGGTAAGTAGGTCCTCGCGACCTGCCGCACAGCGCCATCTGTACGGTGCCCTTAAACAGCTGCCAAGAGGGTAGACTGTCCAGTAAGCATCTGTGGGGCTGCACCCCACAGGCCTGCAAGGCCTGGACTCGCCCCGCTTCAAGCCCAGAGCCAGTGACAGAGACGTCAGTGGCTGAGTGGATGTGGTGCTTACACGTCTGAAGCAGGGTCCTGGAGCGACACCCGAGCCTGTGCAGCAGGCGGCACGCGGGACGTGGTGACCGGCTTCGCTCCGGGGGGAGGGGCAGGTTACCAGTTACAGGGGGAATTGGCGCCAGGTTGGCTCATCAGTTACCAGGGAAACCAGCAGAGGGGCAGGCCCCTCGCTGCCCCTTTGATAAACTGTCTGGTGGAGATGTTCTGATCTGCAGACAAGAACGGGCCCCAACTGGGGTGGGGGCATGGGTGCAGGCCGGTCGTCCAGAGGGTCAGTGGTTGAGCAGGGGGTGTGCAGAGAGCAGGAGGCCTCCCCCAGTGACCTTGTCGTGATAGTAACGGGGAATAGAGACTGGAGACTGAAGGGAAGAGTCACGTATTGGTGTTGCTGCCTGGTAGCCATGCGGCCGCGGAGAGCACGCCCGGGACTGCTCCGCCCTCGGCTCGGGTGCTGCCTGCAGCAGCCGGGGCCTCTCCTGTCGTCCGTGCGCTGAGTTAGAGAACTTCTTTTTCTTTGTTGTTGTTTTTCCTTGTTAACCCTTAATTGAATAGCCTGTTTCACTCGAGTAGCTTTTAAAAAGCCCCGTGGCCTCCGGGTTTCAGCTCGTGTCGGCGGTGGGCTACCTGCACTCGCAGAGCGTCCTCCACCGGGATATCAAGGACGAGAACGTCGTCATCGCCGAGGACTTCTCCATCAAGCTCATAGACTTCGGCTCGGCCGCCTACCTGGATGCGGGCAGGCTCTTCTACACCTTCTGCGGGACCATCGAGTACTGCGCACCCGAGGTTCTCCTGGGAAACCCGTACGTACCGCGCTGCGGCCCGTCTCCCCTGCCCTCGGGGCCCTGCGATCGCTTGGACTGTAGGTGGAAAGATGGTCTCCGTTTGTGTCTCTTGGTGACGGATGAGGGTGCTGGGTGACAAAGTATGTTTTGGAGAACAAGTGGGCAGGCAGGCTGGCAAAGGAAGACTGACTGTTCAGGGGAGGCTGGGTGGTGGACACAGGGGTCCACTGTATTGTGTTCTTGGCTTCTATGTTTGGGGTTTTATATAATTAAAAGTTAAGAGAAAGATAAAAGAGCCCCCAAACTTGGTCATCTTCAAGTAAGTGAAGAGGATTTTTTCCCATTGGTTTATTTATTTTGATGACCAGAAATAATAATCTGTTCAGATAAAATGTTGGTGGGTGGGCCATACCAGGGCCCAGCTCGGGGCCTGGTGAGGAGGCCGCGAGCTGCAGGGCCCCGGCCTGGGTAGGGCCTGATCTCAGGGCACGTGGGAGGGACAGGACGCTGATTGCTGCTCAGCTGTTGCTGGGCCTCAGTTTCTCAGCGTGTCCTGCTACGCATGCGGGGGTTTCTGTCTTGTCCGCCTATAAACCAAGTGAAGTGGACTCCAGTCAGGTCCAGACAGAGGTATTTCCCAGTGTCCCCTACACCTACTTCAGGGAAGTGGTGTTGGGGTGTCTCTCCAGGAGGCCTGTGGTTAGAGAGGCTCCAGAGCGTCATGTTGGCCTTCACCGCCTGTCGCCGCAGCCTCTGTGCTGCAGCCTCTGGTCCTGTTCCCGAGTGACAGGGGACACCCAGACGGACCGGCATTTAAACTCCGGCAGTCTGAGTCTGGAGCGTGGGCTTGTAGTTGCTGCTGCCTCCAGGCCGTGCCTCAGGCTCACGAGAAACCCTGCAGCAGCAGTGTGAGATGCTACCAGGGGCCTTGGTCACGGTGTCTGCTCAAACCATGCTTCGTTTCCAAGGCAGGATATTCGCGCTGAGTCCCCTGAAAGCCCTCTGCCTAGCCCAGCCCTCTGTACGCCGGGTGGGCCCCTGTGAGCAGAGTGCCCGGGCATTTTGTCCACAGCAGGGTGTGGAGGGAGCACGAAATAAGCCTTTTCCCTTATTTCTGTGGGTGTCCGGAGCCAGCAGACGGTAGGAAGTTGGGGGGGGGTGTAGTCTAGGAAGAGCCTCAGAGTTTCTTTTCAGATAAAACTTGGTTGCCTTGACACTTCAGCCAGTGTCCTATGGTGGCTGTCAGGTCATTGGTGTTGGAGGTGGACTGTGTGTCCCTTGTCCACGGCCTGTCTGCACCCCAAGCCTGGGCGGTGAAGCCCCGCGGGGAGCGCTGGGCGGGGCGCTTCTGCACGTGGAGGCTCAGCCTCGTGCTGCTCAGCGCCGCCCCCCACACCCCCTTCCCTAGGGGCCGCGTGCACCTCCCTTGCAGCCGCCGCCCGCCTGTCCCCCTCCCTCGCCAGCCCCTCTTCCTCCACTGGGCTTTGGTTCTCCATCGTTTTCAATCCCACCCCATCCTTGGGCCGATTCCTCCCTCTTCATTTTCACAGCCTTCTGCTCTGGGGGCGGCACATCTGGCCACCACCTCTTTATAAATAGGGTTCTCCTGGCCCCCGGCCACGCCTGGGCTCACGTGGGGTCGTGGAGGCAGAGGCGTGGCCCGTAGCCTGAGGGAGTTACTGTTTGGTCGTTACAGCAAGAGCTCACTGACCGCTGTTCTCCTCCACTGGGCTTTTGTCTTTAACCTAAAAAACTCCTGAAATCTTTCTGCAGAGCAGAAACGACACAACACGAAAACTGTCGAAGCTGATTTTCTTGTTCCAGCAGCCCGTTGCTGGCGTGAAGTCTGTCCTTGTGGCCCTGGCCCCTCTTCTCTCTTGGGGCCCAGCCCTCCCCAGACTGAGATTGCCAGGCTCTCTGTGGCCCCTGGAGGGCAGAGGTCGCCGTCCTGACTCTCTTCTCACTGGTTCCTCTCAGCCACTAAAGTGTGTGGTCTGGCGAGAGGATGCTGCTCCTGCGTCTCCAGGCTGGGCCACCCCGTGCTCCGGACCCAAGCGGACCACCCGTGGGGCAGCCCAGGGCTCCCGCGCCTGCCTAGCAGTAGGCTCGCCTCTTCTGCGTGAAGCGGGGGTGATGCCCCCCCTGCCGGTTTGCTGTGAGGCCCAGGGCTGAGCCATGTGGAGCCTGGCCAGTGCCCAGTAGACAGCAGCCGGGAGGCGGGTGTGGACCCCGAGGCAGTGCACCCGGGGCAGCGCCTCCCCAGCTGCCCCCCGCTCCCTCCCTCCACGCCTGCCCACTTGCTCCATTCTTCTGCTGCTGCTGTTGTCTTACCAAGCCCTCGAGGGTGTCTCCCCATGATCACCCTCCACACCCTTCTGAAGGGCACCTGCCCTGCCCTGAAGCCGCCTGGTGAGCTGAGCTCCTGAGGGCCTGGCACTTGCCCGCTCTCCCAGGTCCTCTCTCCACCTCCTCCAGGAAGCCCCCCCGGGGGACATGCTCTGCGTGCCTTGTGCACTGTCTTCTGACTTCTGTCAGCTGCCTGCCGGCGTGTGGGGCTTTGCTTTCCCTCTCCTGACTCGGTGCCTGGCTGTGGGCGGACACACAGGCTCCTGAGGACGTGGGCAAAGATGCAGCCCTTCTCGCTGGGAGCTGCCCTCAGGTGACCTGTGGGGTCCGGGGCTCATAAGTGGGGCTGGTCCGCACCCTAGAGTGCTTCCTCTCCCTCCTCGCAGTTACAAGGGGCCGGAGCTGGAGATGTGGTCCATGGGCGTCACGCTATACACGCTGATCTTTGAGGAGAACCCCTTCTGCGAGCTGGAGGAGACCATGGAGGCTGCCATCAACCCCCCGTACCTGGTGTCAGAAGGTGAGCTCGGGCCAGGCAGCGGGTGGACGGCCGTGGTGTTGCTCTTGCGCCCTGCCTTCTGGAGCAGCACCCCTTCGTCCATGCTGGTGACTGGTGTCCTCTCTCTTCCGTTCCTGTCAGACTCTGATCCACCATGAGGATAACCTGGATGTGATTTAAAACCTTACGACACACCTTTAATTTAAGGGGAGTCTCTCCCTTTGGACCGTAGGGGCCCCCTTCTGAGGGACAGACCTGGAACGTGGCCATGGCAGTGACTAAGATCACCTTCAGGGAGGGGGGTGATGACGGACTTGACCCCCAGCCGCTCCTGTGGAAGCCTGGCGGGCTAGCACCTCAAGCCCCGTGAGCTGGCTCCCCGCAGGGCCATGACTGGCGGTTTGCATCTGCGGTGAGGACCAAGCCGGAAGGCAGGCCTGGAATGGGCCCCTCACGACTTGCCCCTGGAGGAGCGCCAGGGAGCTGGCCAGGAGTAGGGTGGGATGCTGGACCCCAGGGCCCCAGGGCCCCGAGGTCTCCCGGTCTCCATGTCCTGCGATTCCAGAGTAGTCACTTACCATCATGAGCAGTGAGGAGACAAGCCTGTGCCTTGGGTTCTTGGTTTAGGTTAGAAGCCTGTGTCTCAGTCCGTGCAGGCTGCCACGACAGGACACCACAGCCTGCGGGCTTCCACCACAGACATCGGCAGCTGCCTTTTCCGTGTCCTCATGTGGTAGACAGAGAGAGCAAGCTCTCTGGTGTCTCTTCTGATACGGGCACTGAAGCAGTGGTGGGGGCCCCACCCTCAGGACCACACCCAGCTCTAATCGCCTCCCAAGGGCCCCACCTTCTAATACCAGCACATTGTGGGTTTCGGGATCAGAGGACACAGTTCAGTCCAGAGCAGCCTAGAAGATTTGGAGAGCTTTGCTAACCTTCTGGGTTTCTGTGGTCCCGGGGCTCTGGCAGCCCACCGTTCCTCCCAGAGAGACCGTTCCTCCCAGACTGGCTGTTCCTCGCACTCTCTTACCAGGCTCCCAGGACACTCACTCAGAACAGTGAGGCTTGGAGTGGCCCTGGCTGAGGTGACACCCGTACTGTTAAAGGAAACAGGACCCAAGTCCAGACTCAGAGCTGGGGGCTCTTCCCAGAGCTTGTGCTTCCTTCCTGTGGAGACGGGCTGGGCCTCTCCTGTCACGTGATCCCCGTGTCAGCAGCTGTGCACAGGGAGCCCCGCAGAGCAGGCCGAGGCCAGGAACCCCCCACACTGGTGTAGTGAGTGAGGTGGGATCTTGAGCTCCGAGCTGGAGCGCTCCTTAGGAAAAGGGTTCCAGCGCCCCCTCCTGCCCAGTGAGGCGCTCATGGGGGAGACCCAGGGCCTGCGGTTTTGACGTGCGCTCCACTTGCCCCAGCCTGGACCCACCTTCAGTCTTGTGGCCACACGCATAGGCTGGGTCTTTATGTCCCCAGATCTCATGAACCTCATGTCGGGGCTGCTGCAGCCTGTCCCCGAGCAGCGCACCACCTTGGAGAAGCTGGCCACAGACCCCTGGGTGACGCAGCCCGTGAACCTTGCTGAGTACACCTGGGATGAGGTGTGTCGAGTGAACAAGCCAGGTGAGAGGCGAGGCCCGCGCACCCCAGGCTGCTTCCTGGGTGTGGGGAGGAGGGCGAGGCTCCCTCCATGCTGTCCTGGACACGAGTGTCAGGGCCTAGAGCTGGCTTGTCACCTGTGAAACAAATTCCAGAGGCCCCTCAACACCACCAGGGCCCTTGGAGGGTGGGTGAAGGCCTGTGGGAGCCCCCGACAAGGAGTAACCTGGAGAAGGGGTTGGGGGCTGGGGGCAGAGGGTTTCAGAAGTGCAGCTGCCATGGTCTGAGCTGGCTGAAGGGGCAGGTGAGGCCGCAGACAACGAGGGCGATGGTCTGGGGGATGCGGGGGCCCACGGCTGGGCAGCAGCAGCCCAGGGTGCCCATCCCCGCTGCTCAGAGTGGGCAGACGAGGCTACTGTTGGTGGCTCTGGGCGTGGAATCTGCAGTGGGGTCCGAGAAGCCCGGAGCACTGCCGCCGCGCCCCCCTGATGTCTTCTGCTCTTAGGAATTCTTCCAGAGAAAACCAGAGTGCTTTAGCACGTGACCTGGTGTGTTGTTCTTTGTCTAGAGAGCAGAGTTCTGTCCACTGTTGGTCTGGAGATGGAGGCCAGGAGCCCACGCAGCGGCTCGGGCCCAGAGCTGCACAGAGCCCCGTGCACCAGGGCAGGCCCCTGATCGCCAGGCGGACCCTGCTTCCTGCCGCACCGCAACAGTCAGTCAGGAAGTCCTACTATTTCCAGCTCCTTCTGTTCAGAGGAAGTGAGTGCTCAACAGTTAGGCCCAGTTCACCTTCTGAAAACTCATATGCAAGCTTGATAAATGTTAGAACAAAAGCTAGTATTGTATTAGGTTTATAAAATAGGCCTGGAATTAATTTTTTTATGACCTTGAAAAAACTTGTAATTTTTAATTGAGTTTTGTACTGTCAAAGGGCTTTTAATTTATGAACTTCCAAAAGGCATAAAAGAGGTTTTTAATTCTCTTTCTACTTTGGTGTATATGTGCCTATGTTTTTGTTTCCTTTGACTCGGTATTGTAGAACTGGTTAGCCAAATGACCAGACTGTTTCATTAATTTATTTCCTTGAACGTTGTCCAGATTAAAGGAATTTTGCTAGTAAAGAGCAGTGACTTGGACCACGTGAATTCTTCTGCAGCGCTGGGATGGAAAGTGCTCCGTGTCTTTATTTTTCCTTTGTGCACGTCCCCTCCGCCCCCTACCCCACACACAGCTGGAGAGAGGTTCAACCTTGGTCAGTCTGGGGGTCCCTCCTGTGGGTGGGCCCAGGGCTCTGCAGCTTGTTCAGCTTAAGGAGACAGAAGGGTCTGGGGTTTTGGGCATTTCCTGTCTCCCATGCATAGTTCGCCAGGGTCGGCCCACCATCTGTCTAGGCTCTGCTGTCCACCCACGACTCCCTCCCAGCAGCCCCAAGCCAGCCCAGGCCTGCCTTGGCGGCCATGTAGGGTGTCCAGCCCTGACTGCCCCCCACTCTTGCTCAGGCCCAAGTGCTCTTGTACTCAGATACTCCTCCTGTCTGGGCTCCAGTTCCGTCCTCCTGAAGCAGGATCAGCGAGCTCAAGCACATGAAAGCCAGCGCTCTGTTCTGTGCTGTGTTGGAGGGGAGGGAGTGGTTAGCGGTGGAAGGGAAACCTTTCATTGTTTTCCTGCTGAAACAGCAGGAAGAAAACAAAACCCAGAATGAACCCCCATGCCTTTTCCCACATGTCATCACCTTCTGCAGGTTCCCAGGCTTTGGCACCGAGCTCCTGCAAGATGCCCAGGGGCCAGGCTGCCTCTGGTATGACCTGTGCTCAGTTTTCTAGTGTTCATTTAGGAAGCATTAAACTGTCTAAATATTTTAGAATGCTCGGAGAACAGCTGATTTTATTCTCAACTACTTAGGTACAGGGTATCACCACCCCCTTACTTTAGGAAGTGCTGCGAAGTTTCCCTGCCGTCTCGAGAGACCGTTCCTCCGTCCGTCAGGGACGGCAAAGGCAGGGCTTTGGAAAGTGTATTTTTTAAAATGTGTAGTAGGAAGTTAGTGATATTTTCTCTTCAGAATCAAATGAGTTTCCTGATGTTCTAAGAACTCTTCAAGAGTGGAAAACAAACAAAACGTTTTTCTTAGTAGTGTTCATGATGTTTGTAACACATTAGAAATTACAGAATTTTTTTCAGTCAGGTGTGCAATGTGCTGAAAATGCAAATCCTAGGTCTCCAAGAATTGTTACTTCTTTGTAAGAAAAAATAATTAAAACTTATCTGACCTGATGGTGGTAGAAGGTCTGATACTTTGAGAGTATTCTTTGTAGAAAGAATCCAGATAGAAAAAATTTAAGGCTAAGGATGACAGATTTTCCTTTCCATGTTCCAAGTGTGATTGCAGAGAGCAAAGTTTTCATAGGGCTCTGAAGATGCTGGTGGCTTTTTAGAGTAATTCCTGTGTCCCTGCCACTCTTGTTTCTAGAGCTGGATACCTGTTTAGGTTCTGTGATTCCTTCCAGGGAGTAGGGGTGGCACAAGAGATTTTCTTAGATTTCGGGTGTAAAAGCATTCACATAATTTGTTTTGAGGTACTGACAGCTGGATGTTTTAAGAAGAAAATTAGAGTGAAAAACCCAAACAACAAAACCAATTCTTTGGTTCCACACAGTTTACAACCTTCCTTTTCTTTGATATAATTCTTTGGTAAAAAAGAAAAAATACACTTTAGCACCCCGTCCAGTGCCAGGCACAGGGCAGGTACTATATAAATTGTATCCGTGCAAGAATCAAGTCCTTTTTCTCAGCTCAGAAACAAGTAGATAAAACAAGAAGGATCCTTACAAATTAAGGTTTGGGTTCACGAGTGATGGAATTTAGGCAGCTTTTTATTCTTTTTCACCACCATCCCCTTTTGAAAGATGTCTAGGCTCTGTATCTGAACTATTACACAGATCTAGATGCAAAATTTAAGAATGACTACAACCACTGGATTTCATCCCAAGAGGAAACCAGACTCCTGAGTTGGGAGGACTTCTGGAGTTCTTTTGGATAGTTTAAACACCTCTAGAGTGCAAGAGACAGACAGAGACCCCCCTCAGTCTTGTTAATCAGTTTTAGAAACAGACCCGATTGATGTAAAAGGGTGTTTATTTGGGTTTGTTAGGACTGCAGCCCGGGAGACACTGATTCAAGAAGCGCTTGAATTATGTTCTGCTGGATTACAAAATGTGGCAAGTTTATAAGGCAAAAACTGTAAGGCCGCTGTTCATTATATGAGTTGTTTATCAGGAGTTAAAACTGGAGCTGGCAAGAAGTAAGCGTGCTGGTTAAGTAAGGACTGGTTGGGGTCTGAAAGGGCGCATGGTTACAAGGCGTGGACTTCGAGACCACCAGGTTGCAGCTGGCAGGTGGTGGAGTGAATACGGCTGGCGCGCCTTGGGTCTCGTACGGATCAAAGGAAGTTCCAGGTCTCAGTGCAGAGGCTGAGACCGGGTCCTCAAAGGCCACTGGACTGCATTCTCTAGGCCCGGACCGATTACTCCGTTACAATTTCAGTTTGTCATCAGTATTCATGTTGCATACAGACCTTCACACAAAATCTGAAGTAATTATCTGGACGGGCTCCATTTCACTCAGATGCCCTGTTCCTCCGAGTGAAGCTGCTGTGGGAGGAGCTCGCCTTCTGCGGCGAAGTTGCCGTCGAACCGGGGAGCGCCGGCCTCCTCCAAGGCTGCAGTCCACCCGCCGCTGCTCCCGGCCAGGGAAGCCGGGCAGCGCAGGCACCACGCAGAGGAGCCGCGGCC